CTTATTTAGCGAGGTATTGTTGCGGTGTTCGCGTGACGCCGTTGCCGCAACAGCAACATCAGCAGCAGCAGCAGCAGCATCAACACAGGGGCCGTCGATCGATCGATAGAGTGATGAGTTTTACACTGTACCCAGGTGTACGAACGCTTGCTACCTGGCGGAGCGGCCCTGCCGCATCTCTCTCTACCCAGGTGCGCAGTAAGTAATCAAGTTACCTGGCGTCGTATTCAATTCAATTACGTTTCCTCGGCTGCGGGCGTTTATAACGGCGAGGGAGGGTGACGGAGGGAGGCGGGAGGATGGTGGAGGAGGAGGGAGTGTGTGTGGCGGAGGGAGGAGAGAGGGTGACGGAGAGGGAGGGAGTGGGGTGGAGAAGGAGGGAGTGTAGTGAAGGGAGGAGGGTATGTAACGAAAAGGTGGGCGAGTGTAGTGGAGAGGGAGGGGGTGTGGTGGAAGGAGAGGGTGTGTAGTGAAGGAAGGAGGGTATGTAGCTGAGGGGGAGGGAGTGTGGTGGAAGGAGAGGGTGTGTAGTGAAGGAAGGAGGGTATGTAGCGGAGGGGGAAGAGGTGTGGTGGAAGGAGAGGGTGTGTAGCGGAGGGGGAAGAGGTGTGGTGGAAGGAGAGGGTGTGTAGTGAAGGAAGAAGGGTATGTAGCGGAGGGGATGGTGTGTAGTGTACCGGAGGGAGGAGGGACGCGATAGGAACTCGATGATGGAGGGAGACGGGTTAGAGGTAGATGACGCACGCGTGCGGCGAGTCGTCGACAAGCTGCTCGCCCTTCAGCGTATCGTTAGAGCCACACGACACAAGCGACGACGACCGCTCGCGTCGGCTCGCCTCCAACTCCAGCTCCCGCAGCTCCTGCTCGCAGATGATCATGACGCGAGCGCCCCCTGTCGGCTCCGAGTCGCACTCGGAGTAGCCGCTCTCGGTGCTGATAACGCTGTCACCGTCGTCGCCCGACCACGTCGACGCCGGCGCCGACGACTGCCGGATGTAGAAGCGCACGCTGGCGTCGTCCAGGAGGTCGTCAACGATATCGTCCGACGTCGTCGAGCTGGTCGTGTCGATGCTGTCGCCAATGCTCGATGTGTCGTCGATGCCCCACCTGTTGGCGCCTCTCGCCCTCCTCTCTCTCGCCGTCGCCGCTTCCTCCTCTTCCTCTTCCTCGTCGACGTCCTCCAAGTCGTCCTCTTCTTCGATCTCGTAGATCGCAGAGTCGATGCTGAGCTCGCCGGGAGAGGTGCCTGTTCGATGCAGCGCCTCCTCCTCGTCCTCCTCCTCCGCCAGCCCCTCCTCCAGGTACGACTCGTCGATAGAGTGGAGTCGCGGCGCGCTGCGCGAGCGCGCTACGGGCGGCTTATAGTTGTGAGCCGTACTGAGCAGCGCCTTGCGCTTGCACACTGTCACGTCGACTCCCAGCTTGCACTTGACGAGCAGACGATAGTTCTGTCGGCGGCACTTGTCGCGCACGAACTCGCGCAGCGCCGACGTCGTCGCCTCCTGCAGCTGCGCGACGAGACACTTGGCGACGGCGTCGCTGGCGCACAGGACGGCGTGCGCGCGCTGCTCGACTTTCATCTTCTTGCCCTCGTGTCGGTAGATCCAGCAGAAGACGCGCGGGTACTGCGGCGGCGCGATGCAGTAGGTGATGCGGTGAGACGAGTATTCGGTGACGCCTTGCTGCTTCGTCTCCGCCTGCAATTAAGTGAAAGATGCGAAGGATGGTAAGATGAGAAGCGGTGCCATGACATGCGGAGACAGATGTCATGTTGTTAGCACGCGGCACGTCGAGAGTGAGAGAGAGAGGGAGAGAGAGAGAGAGAGCGCGCGAATGAAGTACCATCAGTTACGTGGACGTATAGCAACACACGCACACACACTACCCACACACACACACACCACACACACACACACCACACACACACACACACACACCACACACAACACACACACACACACACACACACACACAAACACACACGCAACACACCGCACACACACACATAACACGCACGCACGCACGCACGCACGCACGCACGCACGACGCACGCCGCGCGCACCACGCACGCGCGCGCACACACACACACACACACACACACACACACACACAACGCACCAACCATACCGCCACCACATACACACACACACACACACACACACACACACACACACCACAACACTCCTTCACACCCACACGCACGTACGCACACACACACACACACACACACACAGCACACCACACACCACCACACACACACACACACACCACCACATACACGCACACACACACATACATCGCACACACCACACCGCACGCC